CATGCAATATTATTTGTTTAGTCAGAGACTCATTTTTTCTAAAAATGTTTCTATTGTTAAAACACAAGAAGATAGAACATATCTTCTCTATTTGAACTCAATTGAATAAATTGTACAATCAATACAATGTACATAATTTTTTAATTTCTACATTATAAATTATTCTTATGTGGGATTGGGATGTGATTCGAAGGTTTTACTGAGGCATCTGTATTGACCACTTAGATATGAAAGTATGTTTAGTAAGGTTTATTAAGAATTAGGAAGATCGGGCAATGAGTTTGAAGGAGTTTGGGCTTGAGTGGATGAATTTGGATTAATTCTTTGGAGGTTGGAACGCTTGTACCCCACAGTTCCATTCCGTAAATGAGGGGTTTAGTACTGAGAGCTTCGATGATAATGTCAAGTAGACGGGTAAAACGTAACGGACTAGGGATTTGGACGAGTATAGGGTTTTGTGGATGGGACAAATGGGATCTGAAGATCTGTGTAATAGTAAGGTCAAATAGGAAGTAGAGAGCTTGGACAGGGGTTCGAAAGATTTTGGACTAGGTTGACTCTATTCTTTCAAGGTTGGAACGCTTGGTTGAACCCCACCGTCTTATTCCGTCCAGATTGGTTAAGGTGTGATGTTCAAAGTAAGTTATTTGTCGAAGTAAAGTCTTAACTAGATGACATTAGCTGCCAGGAAAGAACAGAGTTGTATTTAATTGGAGGAAAACTTAAACGGCGAAGGGTGAAGGTTTATTGGTGAAATTTGGTTTCATTGAGTATGAACTTCCATTTTCTGGTCAATTTTCAATTATCCTATTGGTTTCTGACAAGCCAGGGGTTTGGGTTTGCTGAAAGGATAGAGCTATCTTCTGAATATATGTGGAATACTGTATCGGAATTGGTAGGAATATCTGATGTGTATACTGAAAATGGAATGGGACCGGCGATGCTTCCTTGTATCTGCTTCTTCCTAGTGGCTGAACAGGAAGGATGTCCTAATGCGGACCGATAGGACTTTAGTATGGAGTAATAATTTATATAAAAATATATCAACAAACAGAATTAAAATTTGACGTAAGGATTCTATGAACAAATTTCAACTACATGTGGACACGCAGCTAAAAGTATTCTGAAGGACATCGCCAACAATGAGAAGAAACTCGCATCTGCTATCAACCAGAGAACTTTTTTGCTGAAATGCAGACAACACAAGGCCATGAAGATGATCTCAATAAAGATCGAAACGTTGGCACGATAAAAAAATGTTTTTCTGAAACCTACATCATACCAGACCGCATCTCACGATTTCTGAATAATTTGACGTAAGTTGAAAGTTAAAGTAATATGAAATTTCAGATGATTTCTATGGAGCTTTGTGAACTTCGCTCTGTCTTTAGGAAGGTCCTGGTAGTTTTGCCTTTGTGTTATTTATTTATTTACAAGGCTTCGCATCAGCAGAGGTCATATAAACCCTCAGGGTGCCGGTGTTTTTGAAAAAAGCCGATTTGTGAGCATGTCGAGTTCAAATTGATTGATCAAAAGGATTGCTAGATTGAAACCCGGGATCTTTACCTTACAGTGATGAGCGCCGTGTCAACGCCTGAACCGTTGGGGCCACCGACGCCCCCCTTCTTTGTGTTATTCTAGTAGTAATGAGTTAATGGACTACTCATTTTTATGCATGACAAATGGGTTTGCTGAAATGATAGAGCTGTCTTCTGAATATATGAGGAATACTGCATCGGAATTGGTAGGAATGTCTGATGTGTATACTGAAAATGGAATGGGACTGGCGATGCTTCCTTGCAGAATACCTGCTTCTTCCTAGTGGATGAACAGGAAGGATGTCCTCATGTCGGACTGATAGGAATTTAGTATGGAGTAATAGGTTATATAAAAATAGATCAACAAACAGAATTACCACAACTAAAATTTGACTTATGTTGAAAGTTAAAGTGATAAGAAACTTCTGATGATTTCTATGGAGCTATGTGAACTCTTTAGGAAGGTCCTGGTAGGTTTGCCTTTGTGTTATTCTTGTAGGCAATCCATTCACTCATTTTTATGCATGACATTGCACGACAAAACTTTCCAAACCGGATTACCAAATGAATATGAAGTCATGAAAATACTTCACCTCTTATATCATTTTTGTACATTCCATTACACTTACAACTAAAAAAGTGAAGCAGCTAATTTTTAATGTTTGTATCTTTAGGCTACTTTGTTAGTAACAATCTACGTCTAAATTAAAAGTCGCAGACAGGAACCACAGTCGCATCTTTGAACTGGCGGTTGGCATCATTTATTTATTGGAATCCCGGTATAAAAATAAATCTTTCGCGCTAGTCTGATTAATAATCGCGATTGATGCCGTTCCAGATTGGTCCATGATCAAACATTCATGCATGGCCCGCATGACTCTAATAAAAGAGCCGGACAGGGAAATGCAATCACAATATGTAAATGGGCTACTCTGCAATCAACCATTTGCTCACCTCCCTTCAACCTTCTCACACCAGATTTCACATTATGGACTTTTTTTTACAAATCTGCCCAATATTAAACACGTGTTTTCTTTCGAAAGGATTCTTGATGAAATGAAGGATGACGGACATGAAACATTTTCTAGAGTTTTTCTATTTTAGAGAGAAAAAAAATGCAAGTAAATCTAGTCTGTTCTGATAGAGATCATCACAAAAGTCATACAGTTACTTACAAATATATTGGATTTGTGTATTGCGTAGTCTTTTATGCCAAAATAGTTATGCCAGCACATACGAATACAGGTGATTGATTTTTTTGTCACTATTATTCAAGAATCAATTAGAAAATCATTCATTTAATAAAACGTAAAATGATTTCCGGATATACGCAAAAAAAGTTATAACCTTGCCGAAGTAAAATAGAATGTAATTATTAATATAAGTGAAGGGTAAGGAGAATAATTTACATAGTTTAAAAGTTTGTAATGGTTCTCCATTTTGGTAATTATTCATTTTTGTAATGTCTCGTAATTGGGGTGTTGAAGAGGGGCCATGTTTCCCCTTTCCTATCAATTTTCTCTCATCTCTGATCCTCTATGGCTCTCTTTTATCAAGGTAGCCGACGTGACTTGAGTAGTCAACTTGCCAACTTTACCCAACACCATGTTCTTTTTTTTCTCTCTCTCCTTTTTTTTTTTTTTTTTTTTTTTGGTTCATCCAAACGAATTTATACGTTCCCACCCACCTTCGGCCCAAGTTTCCCCAGCTCCTCTTTTCTTTCCTCAACAACCCAATTTTGAAGTATCATAAGTATTTAACCAACCGCTCGCCTTTCCCTCTCACTGTCTTTCGCCATCCCTCCATTTCCAGCTTTCTATATCTCACTCTTTTATTCCTGCCCTGACTTACTCGGACTCTGCTAATTATACTTAGCATGATTGACTATAATAGTAATTTTTTAAAGATATAATAAGGAAAAGGATCTTAAGGATATACTAAGATTTAAAATGTAATTAAAATTTTTTTGTCATGACTGTCCAATTAAAAAAACAACAAGAATCATTGCCACATCAGTTTAGCTTTTTTATATCAGACTTTTAAGTCAGACATGTATTACTCAGATTATCTGTGTTTAACTACAAATGAATTTTTTAATTTCAAATTGACCTTTTAAATTTCAAATTGTCTCTTTTTAAATTTAAAAACATTCTTTTTAATTACATATTAATATTTTCAATTGCATCCTTTTAATTTTAAATTGGGGGACCGCGGTAGCCGAGTGGTTAGCATGAGAGACTCTCACGCCGCGGTCGTGGGTTCGATTCCCACCGTCGCCTCTGGCCCTTTTTTCACAACAACCCCCCAATTTGAACACACATATAAGAATTGTCACATGGCTAATATGCATAGTTCATAACGCCAAAAAAAAAATTTAAATTCGCCTGTTTTAAATTCAAAGAAACTTTAAATTTAGATTCAAATTTTATATTAAAAAAATATATATTTAAGAGAGTGAATGAAATTCACTGACAGGCAAAAAATTCCATCCACTTGTAATATAACTTGATTTGTGTATATTTTTATATATTAATCAAAGTTTCACGTTTTATAACGTTTAATAATTAGTCTCTGTCAAAAAAGTTAAAAAAATGTAAATTGCTAAAGAAAATGAAAAAAAGACAGATAAAATTTGTTTAAATTTTGTTTTAAATTTTTAATTAACATTTCAATTTCGCGTATTTCCTCCTCTTGCCTTAATTACATCTCGAAGAAGTGTCGGCATACTTTCTATCAGTCTGGAAATGTCTCTTTGCTGGAGGTTAGTCCATTTTTCACAAAAAGTCCTTTCAAGATCGTGGAGTGTATCAGGAAGTGATGGACGTGCTCTTATTCGTCTTTTGAGGGTATCCCAGATATGTTCGATATGGTTCAAGTCTGGAGAACGGGCTGGCCAGGCTATAAGACCCTGATGGTATGCTGTTGAAGTAACTATGTTACACGGTTGTAACATAGTTAACAAAGACAACCAAAAAAATTGAACAAACTATGTACACTAAACACAGACAACAAAACGAACCACAATACAGAAGTTGTAAAACCCAACTTTAACTTAACAGCAAAGCACAGAAATAAAAGTAAAAAGGTGAGCGTAAAAACAAAGAAAAAATGCATTAAAAAAAGAGACAATAAACACAGTGAACAACCAAATTTTTAGAATTTTTCCTCTTTTTTGTGTGTGTTGTTTGTATTAGGATATATTTGAGTTGTATATATTCTGTATATTTTGTCCTTATTTAGTTTTACCTAAAATATATATTTTCCCCGTATTCCAAATCCGAAAATTGGTACAATCGCTCGGAAAAATGTCTAAATTTTTCGACTTAAATCGCCATAAAAATTTCATTGATATCTATTGTCATTAGCCTACACCATTGAAATGAATGGTAAGACAAAATCAAAGCTCATTCTACGAGGTAGAATTCACCTTGAACGTGTCACTGGATCGTTTTCGGAGGGGAAATGATTTCTTTCCGCCATTCTAGGATCAGTCACAATTTGAAAACGGAGCAGGTATTCGCTATCAGGTATTTTCACACAATTAGGAAATAATTGCCGAAAACAATCAACCAAACAGATTAGGTTTTCACAAGTTAGTTGAATTTTTAGCATGTAATTTTTAGTAATAGTAATGTTTTCGAATGTTTTGAGTAGTAAACTTGTCTTTTTATTTACAATTAATAATTATTTTTATCATTATTTTATAACAGGTTTTTTATAACAATAAAAATCAATAATTTAAAGATAACGTAATCCAAATAAACACTATTTTCCTTTACCTAGGGGAAATATTATGTCGTATAATTTTTTCCCATTTTTCTTTTTGTATTTTTAAAGCATAGCATTTTAATTTTTTTTCCTGGTTTTTGTGTTTGTTATTTTTCAAATGGTTTAATATTAAAATTATACGTGAATCAATTGATCTTGCTGAAAATTTCGCCACAAACGATCATTCGCTAATTGATCTTAAGACGATTAATATTTTACATTATTATAATGATTGTTATAAATTTAACTAAAATCTAATTATTATTCATTGAGTTAAATAAATTAATGTTATTTGTAGGATGGGGCAAAATTAAATATTTCATACTTGAAAGTTTCAACAAACTGGCCAATCGCAGAGAAAAAGTCCTTTATAATATTAAGCTAGAATTAGACTTAATTAATTAGACGACCGAATTTAAACCAAATGTAAATTACGATGGGAAAAGGTCTAATATGTATTATAAACGAATAAACGGATGCTATCTGTGCCTAATACTCTATAAACATAGGGTAGAAATACGCGCACTTTGAAAAAGCAAGACAAAAGTGCTTCGTTGTTTCGTTTAATCTCGTTATATCCGATTATTTTCGACCTATATCCAGGATTGTAGGTTAATAATAATTGAAATTAATAATAACTCAACACTGAAGGTGGAGAGAAGCAAAAACTCGTCTGACATAATTACACGTTCGGAAACAACCAGGTTCATCAATTCACAGACTACACAATTTAAGAGTTAAAGTGAAGCGAAATCAACAGAAGTAACAATAACTAAACATTAATTGCTTTATTTATTTATTTAACTAGAACCTAGAAAATACTATATTTTTCAAACTGACATGTTTTCTACAATATAATTTTTTTATAATTATTTTAAGTACACTACAGTAAGAATCATTTTTTTCTTTATCGGTGATATTGGTTAATTTTATATGTATTTATAATTTTTTACGAGGGTTCGCAACAGCAAAGGTCATATAAACCCTCAGGGTGCTGGCGTTTTTGAAAAAAAAAAACATTTGTAAGTATGTCGGGTCGAATGCAGGGCCGCTGGATTCGAACCCGGGACCTTCACCTTACAGTGATGAACCTAAACCGTTGCGGCCAATAACGCCCCCAATTTTTTTATTGATAAAAATCCATATAAAACGGGAAAAAGTTGTTTTGAAATTAAAAAGGGGTAATTTGAAATTTATAAAAGTTAATTTCAATTTAAAATGGTTAAATTGAAATTTAAAGAGTTTTTGAGCATATATTGGTATTACTGGTTAATTTGACATACATATAACTATTGAAATTTTGGAAATTGAAATAGGGTTACCTTAAATAATTTATAAAATAATAATTTGAAACAATTTTTTTGCCTTATCAGTGGTATTGTCTAGTTCCAGGAAAACCTCTACGCAACTGTTAACAAATTTGAAACTAAACAGAGTTAATGACAAAATAAAAAAAATTAATTTGAAGTTAAAAGAGGTTAATTTGATACAGGTAAAAACCTGTAAATGGCAGTTAAAAAATTGAAATTAAAAGAAGCTAATTTGAAAGTAAAAACGATTAAAGGTAAAAAGGGTCAATATGAAATTAAAAATGGTTTATTTGAAGTTAAAAATGGATTCTTTGAAATTTAAAGTTTCTTGCCTTACTGGTGATGTTAGTTAATTATAAATATTATATTACTAGTTTTTCTTTTACAAAAGAAGTTATTCTTCTTTTTTATATTAGAGTACGTTTGATTAATGGACTGTACAACATATTAAATATTTTTTTACAAATCTTTTATAGGTTGTTTCAAACGTGTCACGATTTTTCTTCAGATATAAACTAATTTGGCAAAATTATATTTAGTACATTTTTCCCTCTTGTTGATACAAACAAAAAGTAAATACATGTCCTACTTTACAACACTCGGTTCCATTCATATTGTTCCCCACAGCTTTGGCCACGGAAGGTAAAACAAACGAAAACTTTTATGCCAAAAACTCCCCCTGTCCCATAACCTGTGTAACCGTTCGATTGGAATGTTTGGAAAAAGTATCCCTCGCGTGACGAAGTGTCAAGGAAGTAGAAAACAGTGGAAAAAACTCAAATTTGAATCAATTTAAATCAAACTAGTAAAAAATTGTCCGCCTGCCCGAAATGTGAACCTTGTGTTGAAAATCTCTCAAGCCACAAAGCGGCCCATAGACGATCAATATTATTGCACAATATTTTGGGTTGTGCAATTTAAATGATCGTGTGTAGACGATATTGAAAGTTTGTGCAATACATTNAAAAAAAAAAAACAAAAAAAAAACAAAAAGAAAACAGCCAACTTCCGGCAGACGGATAAGCATCCATGCTGTAAAACGCTTTTAATATTGTATATTATGTAACACTTCTCTTTAATGTAAATAAAGCATGTTATCTATCTATCTATCTATCTATCTATCTATCATATTAAATATATGAACAGTACCAAAAACCAAAATAGGCTATCAGTAAATTAAGTTGAATTTTTTTTTTTTTGACAGAAACGATTTGTTATAAGAATCCTCTAGCCCTCAAATACGACGTTTAAACGAAATAAACAACGTTCATTTTTGGCATCAGCCGTAACCTTTTGTGCCCGATATTGCCCTTCTACTTAAAAAAGTATAGCAATTCTGTTCTTTATCCAAACCGAACTTTTACACAACAATTGAAAAGAAGAGTATTTCCTACAACCTTGCCGACTGCACCCTAAGGACATACGTTAGGAAAAACCAACTAACACTGAGACTAGATAAGATTCATTGAGAGAAGATCTCAAGCACATTGTCGTTTAAGGATTAAGACAGGTTTTCGAGAAAATGTAGAAAAGGTTTGGGCAGTAGGGCTAAGGTGGATCGAAAGCTCGTTTTTACTTTTAAAAGTAGGACTCATTGTCTTGAGATATGGTATGTTGAGTTTATAGACTGTGATGTTAATGGCGCAGTTATGACGTTCCACGACAGCTTTCTGTGTACAGTCCTAAGTGTATATGGCTTGGCTGGAAGTCAGTGCTTGTTGTTGATGTACAATGGTGGGCCAGGCTGTTATTATATTTGTGTTTTTAATGTACATGTACCTTGTGTACATTTTTCCTCATTCAGTTTTGTCCTCTACTTCTTGCACCAGGCTTTGAATGATGAATTCGAGTTATTCTTGGTTGTTTAAGGCTGCTTGGAGTATTCAGGTTAAAAGACAGATATGCGATGAAAATTATGGTGGTGGGACTTGTAGGAGGATCAGCAGTGTAAATGGTACACAATATGAGATATAAAATGCACTCTTGTTGAACCCCGGCTTAGGTCTAATATCTTCTTTTTTTTTAAATGTGAACTGTGTACAGTTTTTCCTCATTCAGTCTAGTCCTCAACCTTTTCCCCAGTAAGGTTTACTTGGATGTTGAAAGTTGTTCGGATAGTATTCTGTTTCGAAGAGAGGTCCCCTTTTACCAATGAATTTCATACTCTTTTTCTATAAAAGCCAAACTTTTTAAAACACCCTTACTTAACTATTCTGTTAACTTGATATCTTACAAAGCAATTAGCATTAGCATCAAAACAATAAAAGCGTATTTTTTATTTAATCCACTGCCTGTTTTCAATCATATAAGTGTATAAGTAATCATAAGAAGAATATACGTTATACGAAGGACATCATCATTATAAATAATAATTGACTTCAGTATTAGCGTGCGACATAGTAATGATGTCTTAAAGCGTGTTAAGCTTAAAATCTGAGGAGTGATTTGTTTACAACTTATCATTGTTTTTGGTGTGCTCTAAATTTGTCATCAGAGATAAGCGATAAAAAAAATCTCCTATCGCTTAGTAATACAGTTTGGAATAAAATTCAATCCATACAATGCTCACCTAGTCATTTGTTAGTCATTTCTTTGAAAATTCCCACCTCGATAAATAATCTTGATTAATGCGATTTTCGCTTAAGGGAAATTCCCTTCCTTCGCGCACTTGAACACTCGTTTTTTTCTATCAGCGAAGGGAGGTCTTGAAATTTGAATGGCGTGGTATTAAAGGTAGTATTATTATTACTATTATTTGTGATTTTTTAATTTAAAAGAAAGATCTAATTTTTATTAATGTAATGTAAAGGAACTACAAATTTTTTTTCGATTTCAGGAGTTTGAAAATGACAGAATACCCTGATGAAACAAAAGCGTGTGATAAGGCACCTTTAACGTCAAGGAACACAGAGAATAGAAAATGTTGCTACAAATGGGCGGCCGCTTTTGGAATATCATTAGCTATATTTGGCACGATAGGTATGTTATTGCATTTAATTAATTTCCGTTTACATCAACAAAGTTACACATTGGCGAAAAAATAAGCATCCGCGGGAACCATCGGCTTCGGTGTTTTGATGATGCAGAGTCATACCTCGGAGTTGTCATTCCAGCCGTCGGTGTGTGGCTCCAGGGGCTGTTAACTGCAGATCATTTCAGCCCCCAATTCATACATTAGATACAATTAGTCAGGTAGTTTGGAGTACTCGATAATCCTCCGCCCTGTACACATACTCTATAACTAATTTAATTGGGGAACGATTGGGTTCCCGTTTCTCCAAAAATCCTTCACTTTCTCTATAAGGAGCAAAGGAATGAACTTTGCATGAATGTTGAAAAATTTTTATTTCATTTATTAATTAAACAAAGTTAATTTGAAAACAATTGAAGTTAAAAAGGGTTAATTTGATTTTATAAAAGCTTTGTTTGACTTATCCGTGATGATATTGAATGAAATTAAAAATGATTTATTTGCCAGGAAAAAGTTGTATATGCCAGTTAAAAAGTTGGAAATTAAACAGGGTTAATTGGAAAAAAAAGTTAATTTCAATGTAAATTTGCAGTAAAAAATGTAAATTTGATGTAAATAAAACTATAAATAACAGTTAGAAACATAGAAATGAAAAACAAGTACGGAAATAAAAAAGATTGATTTGAAGTTAAAAAAGTAAATTTGATATGAAAAAAGTGTTGTTTTTTGCCTTATCGGTGATATTGGATGAAATTAAAAATGATTAATTTGCCAAGGCACAAAAGTTGTATATACCAGTTAAAAAGTTTAAAATTAAACAGGGCTAATTCGAAAAAAAGTTAATTTCAATGTAAATTTGCAGTAAAAAATGTTAATTTGACGTAAATAAAACTATAAATAACAGTTAAAAACATAGAAAGTAAAAACAATTAATTTAACATAAAAAAAGGTTGATTTGAAGTTAAAAAAGTTAATTTGATATTAAAAAAAGTGTTGTTCTGCCTGATCGGTGATATTAGTTGAAAGTTAAAATGGTCAATTGGAACTTAAAAAGGATTGAAAAAAAAAACGTTAAGAAATTTGAAAATAAATAGAAAGTTAATTTGAAGGTAAAAATGGCCAATTTAAAATTACAAAAAGGTTAATTTGAATTAAAAATGGTTACTATGACGGAAAAAAACTGTATGCAACAGTTAAAAATTTTGAAATTAAACAGCTGCTGACTTAAGCGTGGCAGTATGGTACTGTTGCTCACACGGATCACTGTATCAATATCCCTGGGCTATAACAGTTTTTAAATGTATGTGTTTATATGTTGGTGTGAATGTAAATTATTAGTCTTTTTATGTAAGGTATTGGTTGAATTGAAAAAGTCAGTGTCAAGTGCGGGATTCGAACCCACGATCTTCGGGTCAATAAGCCGCTGCTCTACCTCTTGAGCTATCGTGTCTTCGATCCACTCGGACACCAACTCCCCATCCCAACCTTCAACCTTTCGAATTTTCCTTCTTTTTGCCATTTTTTGAATCCCGCTCGTTTTCATTTCAACCAAAACCTTACATAAAAAGATTAACTAATTGAAAGAAGTAATTTGGTCAATAGGTCACTAAATATGCTGGGAGTAAATTATTAGTTTGAATGAAGGGATTATCCTCCGCCCAGAAGAATATCGAATCTCGGGTAAGATTGTGTTGTCTGGAAAGTGAAAGTAATTTGTAAGATATAAGGAAATAAAGTAAACAAAAATTAAGATGAAAAAACTAATTTTTAAATCGAGAACCCACGTTATAAATAACAGTAAAGGCTTCACAATTATATTCCGATCAGTTATGAAGTTGAAAACTTTCTTAATTTAATAACCACATCCCATCCGGCTAGCACGGAATTTATAAATTACGGTTCAATTAGCTTAAAATCAATTCGAATGAGTTTATGTCAATTTATAATAAATTAAGATAATAATACGATATATTGTTTCTCACGTCGTACACAATTTTCTCGAGAGAAGTTACCTTTCTTTAAATTGTTGACAATTTTAAGCGTATATATGGTTGTCTTTTTTGTGAAATACATTCCATGAAAATTATCCCATTCGATTTAATACATTCATTCATCGGCTATAACAATCCTTAGGTAACAATTTGATAAAGATTATTACCTAATTGAGTGAGAATTGTCATAAAATAACAATAAAACTATTGAAATGTAAACTTCGAAATAGTAACAGATATAATTATTTAGGAGTATACATCCTTTTTAACAGCATTTTAATCTACTACTAGAATACCTGAAATAATAACCCAGAGAGTTATATCAAAAAGAAAAATTAAAAACATGGCTAAAGTTAAAGGCGGTTGAAGGTACCAACGTTACGATTAGAAAATCTTTCATTCCAATTGTAGGGTCCTTTTAAATATCACAATTTTTCTTATTCTTTGGGTCATATTTCTAGTATTCTTCACCTTTTGTATCTTTCCTTACAAGTGAATCTTTAGTTGTATTTTCCACCTTGAACCATAAACGCTGTAGATTGTGTTGTGATGCACTGTTCATATGTACATTCTACATATTTATAGACATGTATTTTATGGTCATTGCCAGTGTGACCTGAATGGATTTGTGGAAATGAACTACACTAAAAACATTAATGGGTTCATTGCTTTATTCTTCAACACTGAAAGTCAGGTATCAGTAAAACGTAAACAAGCAAGGTCACATTGACTCAGTTAACTGATCAAAGGATCAGGTCTGTACCGCAGTTCGAAGAAACACCACCAAGCAAATAGATTTGGTTAATCTGATGATTTTCTGTTCGTACTCTACTTTTCCCAATTGCTCCTGTATTGTAGAGTGAATTCAGTGTCTATGAAAAGGATTTATAGTAAAGTGGATAGTATTTATTTGTACATAGAATTATTTATTGATTATATATGAATGTATCCCAATTGTTAGTTTTTATAGTTGACTACGCAAAGAAAGTTTAGATGAAAAGTGATAGATTTTTCTGTTAAATTAACGATTGTTTAATTTCGAATTAACTGTTTTTAGCATCAAATTGGCCCTTTTTAATTTCAAATTAACATTTTTAACTTCAAACTAACCCTGTTTAATTTTAAATTGTTGTTAAATTGTACAATAGTAATAGCTGATTTCCGTCAGATTAGCCATTTTTAACCTCAAACTAAACTTTTTTAATTTCGAATTGATCATTTAAAATTTAAAATTAATGTTCTGTTTTCATTTTAACCGTGTTTATTTTCATTTTATTTGTTTACGAGGGTATTTCAATTACGTGGTTGTATGAACTTTCGGGGTGCCGGTGTTTTTGAAAAAAACAAAAAAAAAACCGTTTGTAAGCATGTCGGTACGAATGCAGGGCCACTGGACTCGAACCCGGGACCTTGAGGGCCGTGTCAACACCTAAGCCGACCCCCACCCCACCTATATCTTTGAAGTACTTGACGATGTGGAATGTAGTCAAATAGTTTATTTTTTGGTTTTCTAAATTATTGGAATAAAATAATTGGTCTATAAAATTATTACTTTATATTCTTTTAAAATCTTGAATTAATGGTAAAAAAAATATATTTAATTTTATACCACTTTATCATAAATTAAGATAAGAACCTTTATTTATATAATTTCTAGTTTTAATTGTAATTGATGTGGTCTCCATTATTTTTTATGTAAACAATTTATTTAATAAAAAAAGAATTTTAATTAAAATTATTATATTTCATACCTGTTCCTAGGTTTCGTAATGGTTTAAAGATAGATTTTTTTTTAATTTAATTTTTTAAGGAGGGTATTTCAACTACGAGGTTTCGAAACCCGTACCTATACCCTACAGCGATGAACGTCGAGTCAACTCCTAAACCGTTGTGGCCATCGACGACCCCAAAGATAGAGTTGATATTTAATTCGAAATTAAAAAGGGTTAGTTTAAAGTAAAAATGTCAATTTGATGTTAAAAACAGTTAATTTAAATTTAATGAAAAGTTAGTTTGAAATAAAAAAAGAGTACATTTTGTGCGAAAATGGTTAAGGACGGAAAAAAATCCAAGCGAAGACTCGAACTCACTCATGTTTTATCTTAACATAATTTAGGTGTATTATAATTTACAGTTCTTATAAACGCCGATGGTTCAAGAGATTCATCCCAGCATGCGACTTGTTCAGGACAGTTCTCTTCCTCTGCACAGGAGCAGCAGAAATTGATCGAGGAGCCCATCACCACGAAAGCAATTCGAAGCAAGGTGGTATACATACAATTCTTATTGAAAAACCTTTGTTGTACAAATCTGCAATGTTTGATTCATTATAGGACCAATCGACAAAAGAACCAATTTTTGATACATCAAACGAGATAAATGCACTAGAAGGTGAGCAGTTGTCAAGCCAAATCAGCCACGGAAGACCAGAAATTCCAGTTTATAGACAAAAACGGGATATACTCGACGATTGGGGACAGGTATTTTTTTAATCTTTACTCCGCAAACAAACCGTTGTTCTCAATTTGTTTTGTTTTAGTACGAAGACTTAAAAAATTACAGACAGATGAAACAATATCTTAACTGGCAGGGTTATCAGGCAGATGATCAATTGGATGGAAAGTGGGTTGACATACATAGCATATACCCAGCAGTAAGTGGATTAAATTTAATCCTTTATATTATATTTGTTTTTCGTTTGGTTATATTTACTGACGAAAATTTTCATCCTTAATTCAAGATTGAATGAAATCATCTCGTAAATTTAAATATATATTACACTTGGTAAAACTTATTGATTAAATTATTACGAAACTTAAATTAATTTTTTTGTAGTAAAATATGTTTTCTGTGCACGCTTGTATATCGACATGTTGTTATGAGCTCATAGGAACTGTAATACTAGAAAAATAATATCAGTCCATAATGACTTTTATGAAAGAATTCATAAAATTCCGGTATACAAAATTCCACTAAATCCCTCGTCCTAATCATAACCTCCTGTAGTATTATCAATAATCCTGCCAGGAGGTTAAAATAACGGTGGACATGCGATTGGGTAACCCATGCGGTCCGCGGAGTAATAACAGATTATGGACTATACCCCATGCGTCTCCAAACGTAGGTATCACACGTAGGCATGGGGGGGTATTTACTTTTCTTCTCCCGGGATGCATCGGGTACTTTTTACCACAACCGGGCCGCATGGCGTATGCTTAAGTTGACGCGGGACGCATGGGATAAAACGCAGGACTTGCGTTCTGTAACAGTCAAAATGATAGTTCTGTTTCTGTGTTAACAGCGTCGGTCGAGTAGGCAAAAATCCTCCAGAGCGACAACGGTCAAACGTGGAACGCACAAATCACGCTTTTACAAAGATCTGAGTGTACAAAATACTACAATGGCCAGAAGGGTAAGGATTATTTTTAAATCATAATGCAACTATTAATCTTCAATCTATCGGCGGTAGAGAGAGGCATGTGTCCTCCGTGCTCACAGGTGTGAGCGGGAAATAAACTAAACATTTGCAATATATATTTTCATATGTACAAGCTACAAGTAAATTATGTAGTGAAAAAAATTTATAAAAGTGTAACATTTTGACCTGAATTTATTTTCAGAGCCACAGGAGACGTATATCAAAAAAGCTAACGGCCGTAACAGATTCTGTCATTTCAACTGAAAAACAGACTTTTAATCTATCAACAACAGCAATTACTAGTGACTTAAATAGTGACTTAAATCTAACCACCACCACAACAACAACATCAACAACAACAATTCTATTAAAAGAACAAATCACAAAAAAGGAAAAACCAAAGGTTAATCATTGTTACATATTTAAATCAAAATAATGTCATATGAGATAGCTTTTTTTGACTATCTGCGCTAACAATGCCAAAACTAACAACTTTTTAATATAAATTTTACAAATTATAACCAGTTTTTAAAAAATATATACTTAAAAACGTTTCATACGAATTAATTTTTCTCTAACAGAGGAGACGTTTAATGAAAAGGATATCTTCCACGAGTTCCCCTACATTTTCAACGACGTCTTCACCTTTACAGTACATCCCTTTAAGCCAAAGGACGTACCGAGTTAGAAATACAACCCACATTAAAAAGAAGAACAGAAAAACGAAGAGTCGTCATTCATATGTTCACTATACCAAAGCTCAAGTACTTTTTAGTTCAGAATATATCACTTTAGAAAATGGTTCACCTTGGATTTCTTTTTTTAGCACTTTGTGAGCAATGAGACTACAGCAACGACATTGAATTCGACGACGCCTTCCATGTTGAAGACTTCTCCTTCACAGACGACCTATCTTGAGACGACGATAAGTATAGGAAATACTTCAACCACACAACCAACGGAAGAACCTCGCAATATAACTACGACGAAGGTAATATAATTAAATCCTAATCAACTCAAAAACATAAAGTTTAATATAAAAAAATTCCATAGGTATGTGAACGAATATTGTACGAATCACAAATTACATTTCCACTTGATTTATGTTAATTTCTTTCTTTCGTTGATAAGGGCAGGCAGCGTCAGGTGGCAGAGTAGTGGCAACAGTGAGTTGTTTCAGCAGGCAAATGAAGCCAGAGTATCGTCATTAATGTGTTGTTTCATCGGGCAAATGACATTACAAAATAAATCATGGATGGTTTCTCTTTTGGCCTATGCATTTGTAGATTTGCCTCTGAGGTAGCTAAAGAGCTATTAATTGATTAATTGATTGATAGGAGCTCAATTCTTTACATGTATGCTCTTGAATACATAACTATGAACACGAACCGAGCCTATGACGTCTCCTGGTATGACTCTAGAATCAGCCACTTTGAAATTTTGGTGGTCCGGGGTCATACGATCGCCAAAATTAGGCATAAGGGGCTATCGACAAGGCCATTTCAGTCCCAACCGCAAGCATATGATAAATCGTGGGCTTTTGTGGTAGTTTGGTAGTTAGACCGACACGCTCTCGGTTCGTTGACGGTCGTGGTTCGAACTCAACGTTTCCCACTGGAATTTCCAACCCTGACCTCCTTCCACAATTAAATATTTTAACCATTGTTCATACTCCGACTAATATGTGCGAACACAATGCCATTTTAATTATAACAATAATAATAAAAATAAGTTCAATGTATGTCAGGATGGTTTGACCGTCCATTGTGATGTAGTTTTTTCTAAGATTGCAACAAGTCTTATCAACGGTAGAACTTGTAAAAAAAATTGTGGGGTACGTTTTGAATGATTTATATTGACAGGTAATCTGAAAGCATGCAGAGCATATATGATGGGTAAAGTTGCACATCAAAGCCCTTATTAGAACAATTTGCATTTGAGATTCGTCATTAATATTTTTTTGTATTGACGAGGCACGTGTGCAAGGGCACCCATCGGCCGGATGAAAACACGGTCCGAGGGTAGCGCACACCTCGGGTCACCTTTTCTTTTCAATTACTGTATCCTTACCTATACAGATTTTTTAGAAGGATGTGCATGCAGTGCAACCATCCACATCCTTCCCCAATTATGGGTCTTATTATGGGCCAAGAAGCCTTAAGAGCGCGCATCATCCAGCCCAAGGTACTCACCGAAGAGCCTTCAAGTAAGCTCTTTTTTCATTGTATTAACATCATCAATATCCTTGGTTTGCAGTTTTGCATTTCTTTCCGCTATATTATTTCCAACTATACCGCAGTTCCCAGGTACCCAGAGGAAGAGAACCTTAATATTTTGATTCTGTAGTAACTGTAATACATACAGAATATTCAGAACTGATAGGAATATTCTGATGATAGGGTAAAATAATGCAGATGATGAGTCCGTGCAGATTATCAGGTTTTCATGTTTTACAGAGGTTTATTACATTAATACATTTATTTAACGCATACACTTCAGCGGTGTGGTTGCTACACAAATATGGTAAGTAAAACATATGCCTACCGGCGATAGTCATAAACGAATGCCGCACCGAGTCCGAAATTACTCCCTTGATCCATCCGTATAAATAAACTAACAAAACTTAATATCTTCCATTACATTTCGTGGTCCGATTGATCAAATAACTTCTTTCAATTAATTAATTTTTATGTAAGGTATTGGTTGAAATGAGAAAGTTAGTGTCACGAGCGGGATTCGAACCCACGACCTTTGGCTAAATACGCCGCTGCTCTACCACGTGAGCTATTGTGACTTCGATCCACTCGGACACCAACTCCCCATCTCTACAACCTTTTGAATTTGCCCTCCTTTTTGCCATTTTTCAAATATCGGTAAATAGATTTAAGTAATTTGGACAATCGGACCACGAAATATAATGGATTTAATAAGTAAAACGAAGTATATCTTCACTGAGAGCTCTCCGACACCATTTCATTTGTCGACGAGAATCGAATCCTGTTTACACGACATTTGAAAAATGGCAAAAGGAGGGAAAATTCGAAAGGTAGGTTGGGATGGGAAGTGGATGTCCGAGTGGATTGAAGTCACAATAGTTCAAGAGGTAGAACAGCGGCGTATTTAGCCGAAGGTCGTGGGTTCGAATCCCGCTCGTGACAATAACTTTTTCATTTCAACCAATACCATATAAAAATATTACTCAATCTCTTCGTTAATAATGTTAATAATAACGTTCGTTATCATAACGATCTATTGGTCTATGTGATTTTACACAATGGTCTTTTTCCTGGATAAACTCCGTCAAGTTTGTTATCAGACATATATCAAATATTTTTTGAACAAAGTTGTTCCCTGTAGTTTAATTTTCATGTTGTTTGCTGCACATCAGAATCTAATAATTGAGTCATTATTAAACCGCTTAGACAGCCAACCACCATTGCGGTGTCATCAATAACCACTGCTTAACGAGTGTGTAAACAGAACAATAATCGAGACGGTCAAACATACGCGGGAATCACAAAACTGTTTTTCCAAATCCACACTTACAACTTTCACTCTTCGATTGGAACTTCCTTCAACCGATTTCCTATTCATAAACCGCATAAACCAACGCATTAAAATCCCCTTTTTATATGCAACAAGCTTCGCTTAAGTAAAATTCCCGTATTATTAAGTTTCGTCGATTTTGTCAATTTTTTAAATTATAACTTGGAACCTTCCGTCAGTATACATATATTTCTCGGTTTTTTCTTTTTTATTGACAATATAATTTATTGTTAAGGTTCCGAGAAAGCGAATGACATCAGTAGGAAAACCATATTCTCGCGAGATGATGTCAAACTCTTGGAACAGTCATGGTAGCTACCCAGCGTACAGAGGACAAACAAAAGGAAATCGTAGGAGAACCAGTGCTTGGAGGCCGACAAGGGTAATGTATCATTTTCTATTTTTTATTGAAAATTAAGTAATAAAAGGCATTTTGAGAATTATTTTTCAAGTAGGTTTTAACACGAGCATTAATGTACATGGTCAGTACAGAAAAATCCATGTCATTTAATAAAATTTGATGAGATTAAGGATAAAACGCCTACGTTTTTATTGGACGTAAAAATTGCCAAATTTGGCACAAACTACTTTTCGATTTCAATGTTTAATTTTTAACTTTTAACCTTTTTTAACTTCTTAGTAATTAGTCTTTTTTAATTTCAAAATAATTTTTTTAAGTTCAAATAAACTTTTTTATTATAAAATCTTAACCCTGTTTGTAGGAAAAGCATTAAAAAAACGTAGAATATGGTATGAAATTTAAGCGTGTAAAGTAAAATTCCCGTTGACTTCCGAATTTCCATAAAATATAAAATGATTGGGCTCTTAGAAGACAATAAATATTAAAAATTAAGTTAATAATTAAATCTGTGGTGATTATTAGTGACCGTTAATCGATAATTATTCCGAAATCGTGAGATGCGGTCTGGTGTGATGTAGGTTTCAGAAAAAGGGGCACTCTCAACACGCCACGCAAGAATGGCACAGTTACACAGAAGACAAACACTTTGAGCCCAGAAGATGATCTCTATAAACATCGAAACGATGGCACGATAAAGAAAATGTTTTTCTGAAACCTACATCACACCAGACCGCATCTCACGATCTCTGAATAATTAATTAATTAAATATAAAATTAATTGTTATAACCTTCTTTTATTTTGAAAATTATAAAATGGGCTCTTATATAAAATACCAACTGAATATTAATTGCAATTAATATTTATAGTATTCTAAATTTATGTATAAAAATAAAGAACAATTCTTTTACTTTGAAAAAAAAATGGGCTTTGAGTAATATATGGGTCCTTATTCAAAATAACACCTAAAATTAATTAAAAATGACGTCCAGTTAAATATAAAAACAAATGAATCTACCTTTAATTCGATATTTTATAATTATGAAAACATTAACCTATAAAAGAGTTATTTTATTTTTTTAAATTTCGAATTGATTTTTCTTTTAATTTGAGATTTTAAAAAATACATAAAATACCACCAGAAAATTAAAAGCAATTAAAATTAAAAGTTATATGAACAAATATAAAAACAAATTATTTTTCTAATAATTCGAGATTTTTTAAATATAAAACAATCTGTCCATTTAAAGAAATTCTTTTTTTTATGAGATTTTAAAAAATATATAAAATTGTTTGTTACATAAAATATAAAATTCTGTAAATAAAATGAAAAGTTATATACAATTAAATACAAAACTTACTTTAATTGAACTATTTAAAGAAATATTTTTTATACGTACAATATATAAGGTCTTGGTTGAAATGAAACGTTAGTGGCACGAGAGGGATTCGAAACTGTTTATTTCAACCAAGACCTCACATAAATAGAATAATTAATTGAAAGAATTAATTTGGTATATCAGACGACTAAACATAATCGTATTTAAAAAAGTTAAACTGGGTTCTAATCTCAAATACTGACGTTTACTTACAATTAATTAGGGAATTTATATAAAAATAAATTTAAAAAACTGTTTCTTCTATTAATTTAAGATTTTTTCAAACATGAAATAATAGGCTTATAAAAAGTTATTTTATATTTAAAAAACAAAATCTTGAATTAATGGAAGAAACTTTTGTTTGTGTATTTTTTCATATAACTTCACTTTGAATAGTAATTGTAATAAAATTAACTTTTATGTGGTATATCACATAACCTAATTTATACTTATTAAAAATTTCTATTTCAAATAAGAATTGTTTATTTTTATATTTAATTTTTTATAACTATTAGTTTTAATTAAATTTGATTTTCATATGGTCTTCAAAGAGACCAATTATTTTATATTTAAAAAAATGAAGGTTAACTTTAAATGAAAAAGGGTTAATGTTACCCGGAAAGAGGGTAAATTTCAATTTAAAAGGGTTAATTGGACCGATAAAGCTATATGAGGGTAATTAATTTGTATTAAAAAGATACTCGAATATTCAGGAATTTTAGGTCAGGTACTTATATTTCATAAAACCTAGGTTTTTAAATGTTGTAAAGAAAGGGTCATTTTGAAATTTAAAATAGTTAACTTGAAATTAAAAAGGTTAATTTCAAGTTATAAATGTTAATTTGAAACATTTAAAAAATTTCTATACATTTATTTTTATCAACAACTTAACAATATAACAAAAATAATAATAATACCCATATTATTTTTATGTTTTAGTATCCGAGAAAAAGAGGTTCAAAGAAAAATTACGTTGCCAAGACTGGGCAGAATTGGACGATTACAACGCCAATAAAAACCACTAAAACGACAATGACAACGCTCACGGATACCAATACAGAAACGTCGACGTTCCAGCCTATGGAACAAGTTACCAACTGGAATATAACTCTGGTAACGTTCTAATTGATATCTTGTATTTTAACTCAAAATACTTTTGTTCTGCTCGTCAGTGATGTTTCACGGTTCAGTGCTCAATTCCAGGCTATGCAACCAAAGATGAACCATTTAGAACACCAACTGGAATATGCGAAATACTTAGAGAATCTTAAAGAATTTCTACCTTTGCTGTACGGAACTACCAACCCGACGACTGAAACCTCTTCGCCAAAGGTATGCCAATGAGAACAACCGGATAGAAAAATAATATTTTAAAAACGTACTACATTGGATCCTTGAGAGTACCACATCAAACTTGATGTATTAGATTGTTCGAAGGTTTAGAAAAACAAATAAGATATTTAATTTTCACTGAATATTCATGTTAAGTCTCGTTGGCTTAACGAGGTTTTTTTTGACCCCATGCGTTACCGAAATTGTCCAGAGTAGTTCTCTTAAAAGACAGAAAATGTTTTACTTATGAGAAGTACTTTTCCTTACTTACATATATAAATTCCTTAGAAATACAAACACCCCAAAGAAATGATCTTTTATCTAGATGATTCCAAAGCATAAAAAACCTCATAGCCTTTCATCATCCTCTCAATTGGAAACAAATAAATTAAAAATCCCTTATTCAATCAAAGTAAACATTAACAACTTACAGCATTTTAATAATAAATGCGTATGTTTCTGCAGGTTACAAATACAATGGCGACAACAACGAAAGTTGCAAATTTGATAATCGATACTAATCCTGCTTTACCTCCGTCGACAGGAAATTACAATCCAACTCATGTTGAGGCCATGGCAAACTCCTCAGCTCCCAAAACAGGCTCTGAAAGAAAACAGGTGCGTTGGCCTTATCAATTTCTCATGTGAATTTCTTTTAACCCAGAACATCCTAGATTTTAGATTTTGACACAATTTATGTTACTAGGGGGATACAATTGAAGGAACCATTTCCAAAAACGTCACTGCAAGACCGGATGTGTCACCAAAATCAAATGTAAATATATGAAATAACGATAATAATGTTAATAATAATAGAACATTCAATATTTTGAAAACTGTAGGAACATTGAATTTTTCTGTTTTAGGTGGAATGCTCAGTTTGCCCTGTTATCACAACGCTAAAACCATTATGCGAAATATGCCCTTTTGTAAGTTTGTTTCATTCCGGAGAAATAGATGAAAATAAACCAAACTTCACGATTTTAGCTAAGGTGATTGAATTATGTTATAATTTCACGCATTTAGGTAGACGAATACTAATAGTTGAGAAATCAATATTGCATTTTTGATAATACGCTCATAAAAAAAATTTATTAAACAAAGTTACTTGATAATACGTTTATTTGTTGTGAAAAGAGAAGGCTACGGACCTATAATCGCCGATTTTAATTAAACTTTCTTTAGTGATGCTAGCTGGAAAAATATTAGACAAATATCCTAGTATTCTTGCCAATGGGCCCAAGTAGCCGAGAAGAAAATATTTTAAGTATCATAACCTTTAATACATGCATGTTAGACTTTTATGGGATTTTTTTAAAGAAAAATAAATTATAAATTATTATTATTATCTTTTGTTTTTGTTTTTTGGAAAAAATATATAAATAAAAGGCAGCTTTTACTTTTTAACAAAATATACTCCCAATATTTTTTTAAAAATTAGATTTACACCCTTTTTTTATTATAATCTCCGAATATAATATTTACAGAAAAAGAAAACCTGGTATTTTTGAACTATTATCAAAAAACTTAAAATCTAATTAACAAAATTTAAAATAATTATAGAAAATAAGTATATTAAAATTTATGTTTGTGCAACCCCAAATGAATAGAAAAGAGGAATGATGGAAATGTGAAACTCACTCGACATATGCCTTCTTAACCAGATTACTCTTTAAAAAAGTCGATGATTTGTTAAAGAAAAACTTCGTTAAATATTCATTTATTTTAGGTACACGTTAAAGCGTTTCAATTCTAATTTTATAATAAAAGAATAGACATTTTTGGGCTGGATCAATAGGGCAAACTTTTCTAGGAGGTCTGAAAACTTAATCCTTCTGCCTTTATACTTTTTCAAGAATGCTTACGTTTTACGTCATTATAATTGAAAGAAATAGGGATGAAATAATTAAATGCTGCTCAAACGTTTTATTTTTTTTCCAATTGTAGATTATTTACAATTTGAACCAGTAGGTGTAAATTATATAATTCTAGAGTCCTGTAAAGTTTTCTTATGCTTAATCCTTCTGCTTTTAGGCTATACCAATAAAAATTTGATGGTATGTAATTACGTGGGAGAAATAAGGACGAAATAACCAAAACTCTTCAAACGTTTTATTTTATATTTGCGGTTTTAATTTATTTACGGAGGCTAAATTGATGGAATTACGTGTAGTTTATATGTAGAATTCTAAACCCTAAATTCATGTAAATTAATAGAGTCGTAAACTATTTTAATCGCGATAAAAAGTAGACATTTTTGGGCGGGATTCTGTGGGACAGTTTGTTTAATCGTTTGTGTAATAGTCCATCTAAAAATTTATCACTCCTCTGGATTTTATATTATTTAAACGTTATTAAAACCCATTTATGTTTAGTGATCTAATTGACCATATTAATGATTTCAATTAATTATTCCTTTTATGTAAGGTCTTGGTTGAGATAAAAAGTAAGAAACTCGGGATTCGAAGCCTGACCCGAAGGTCGTTGGTTCGAATCCCGCTCGTGACACTTTGTCATCTCAACCATGACCTTGCATAAAAACAATAGATAATTGAACGTGAATTACAACCGTTCAAAAGAGCAATCCTTTTTGTTTTAGATTACATCAAAAACATTTAGATTTTATGTCAATATAAGTGAGAGAAATAAGGATGGAATCAACAAGAACTTTTCAAACCAAATTATTATGTCTCCTGTTTTAATTTATCAACAGAGGCAAAATTTAATTTTATTATGTGGAGTTTATAAAGTTGTAATAACCGAAGGGTCTTGTGGATCGGTGAATTCATTTCAATTTTGTCGTCCCTTTTGTGATTTTAGAAGACAGTCGCATTTGAAAGACAAATAATTTTAGAGAGAAAAAATATTTTTTTTATTTTCCCGAAAATTTGAATACAGGGATTTTTGAGGGTGCAAAGGACGAATGCGAAATTTGTATTTTCTCCAAAAAAAATTAATCTTCTGTGTAATATTTAGTGACTATTAATTAATGATTATTTACAGATCGTGTCATGCGGTCTGGTGTTACGTAGTTTTAGAAAAACATTTTCCCTATTGTGCCAACGTTTCGATCTTTATTGAGATCATCTTCAGGGCACGTAGTGTTTGTTTTCTAGGAAGATGTGTCATTATTGTGTGTCGAGTTGAGTTTAGAAAAACATTTTTTTTACCGTGCCAACGTTTCGATCTTTATTGAGATCATCTTCAGGGCTCGAAGAGTTTGTTTTCGAGGAAGATGTGTCATTATTGTGTGTCGAGTTGAGTTTAGAAAAACATTTTTTTACCGTGCCAACGTTTCGATCTTTATTGAGATCATCTTCAGGGCTCGAAGTGTTTGTTTTCGAGGAAGATGTGTCATTATTGTGTGCCGAGTTGAGTTTAGAAAAACATTTTTTTACCGTGCCAACGTTTCGATCTTTATTGAGATCATCTTCAGGGCTCGAAGAGTTTGTTTTCGAGGAAGATGTGTCATTATTGTGTGTCGAGTTGAGTTTAGAAAAACATTTTTTTTACCGTGCCAACGTTTCGATCTTTATTGAGATCAGTTTGTTTTCGAGGAAGATGTGTCATTATTGTGTGTCGAGTTGAGTTTAGAAAAACATTTTTTTTTACCGTGCCAACGTTTCGATCTTTATTGAAATCATCTTCAGGGCATGGGATGTATAAACGTTGTTTAAATTATAAAAATACATGTAAGATGTGAAAATGAGTTAATACAATGCGGTACACAATATAGAAATTTTAGTTTTGATCTAAGTATTTGTACTCACTCGAAGTGTGTGTTTTCTTTGTACATTGTTGTGTGTCATGTTCGGAGTGTTAGTGAGATATTGATGTTTTATATTTGGTGATATGTATTGTTTTATTTATATTTATATATGTTTGATTTTGAAGGAGTGGGTAGAAAGAAGGTATAGAAATTCATTTTTCTATGAGGCCTCGGTTTCTTTGAGGTGAAAGGGACCGACAATGGAAAAAAGGGTAATGGTTTGTCGTCGGGCCTGGTTAGCCTTTCAGGATTATTATAGACGGGATTATTAGGAAAAGGAGAGATAAACGGGTGCGGTTTTAGACTATGTAGAATTGTTTGATGTGTGGAGTGTAATGATCGATTTATATGTTGTATTAAATGTTTTGTGTGTCATATGTATTTTATTGATTTTGAATTTGATTTGATGCTGTGTTTAACCATTTGTAAAAAGGTACGTTTATGTTTGTTTTGTTATGTGTTTTATACTTTTGGATTGTTGAAATCGAAATTGTGTGTGTTCAAAATGGTGGGTAGCCAGTGCTGTAGGATTTTGTTTGGGATATTTTTTCAATCATAGATATGTTGTTTTACCTTCTTATCCAGATATTGGATGTAATTATAAATCCCCGGCCCTGAAGATGATCTCAATAAAGATCGAAACTTTGGCACGATAAAGAAAATGACCGCATCTCACCATCTCCAAATAATCATTAATTAACTGTTACTAAATATTACACATTTCTACACGAGATGTTAATTCAGGTAATTTGTTGATCACGGGTAATTTATTATTTTCTTATCGCAAGTGAAAAATAATTTACTGATATTATAATTGAAAAGACATGCACAACAAAGGTAGAAAACATATATATAAAAAAGTAGTTGTTTTTATATTTTGGATGTTCCGGCAATTCCCTCATCTTCAACAGTCCTAGCAATCATACAACAAGGTCCGAATAAGTAACTTAAAAAGATACTTCAAAAATGTTCTCAGCTCCTAGGGCCTATTGGTCAGAAAGCTCGGATACGTGTCTAATATTTTTTGATCTAGTATCATCACAAAAATAGGTTTCATTAAAATCCGTGATCCCTCGTACTAGCCTACCCTTGTAAGTTAAAAGACTACGCTATTGTTCAATGTAAATTCCACTTATTTATCTGTTTTTGTTTTCAAATCTAACTTTACTGTGGAATTTTTTTATAGGACTGGAAATTTGGAAAAACAATCTGGAAAGAGGGAAGTGAGAAATTAGAGCTTCCGAGATTTAAAAGACAAGTAATTATCAAGTTAGCTGCTATTTAGTGTTACCGCAGTTTTAATTAAATTTTAAGTTTAAACTAGACACTTTCATTGCTAGAAGGGAAGTTTTTCCTTTTTTTCTTTGAGATGGTTTCAAATGAGTAACATTAAGATAAATGCATGTCTTCATACAAAATCTATTCTTCAAATTCTTCCATGCTCCTTGTATATTTTAGGGAAGGTTCCGATGTGATGAAATGATTTACATTTTAGATTTAAAAAAATAACAAGAAAAAGTCACCTCATATAATTGTTTATAATTAAAAAAAAATAGCACGAATAAATTTCCTTTCGCTGTGATCTCGATTTCTCTTTTCAGGTCCTTCTTCTATCTGATGGGCTATGTAGCGGTAGCCCGATTTCAACAACCGCCCTGCACAAGAAAAGGATATTGTGCAGATTGTACGATGAAAAGGATTTCGAAGTTATTTGGAGTAGTAGAAAGGATATTAAAAAGAATTTGAAACATTTATTATACACAGATCACAATTTAACATCTGAAAACGCGAACACTTGCCGAAGCGTAGAAAATAGAACACTCGCTGAAAAGCAGCACGTGAGAAAAAAAGATTTTGTTTTTTCTTTCGTGGTTTTTCCTTTCATCAACTGAACTGTAGCCCCATATCAAGATTACAAAAATTAAAAATTCATTTTGGATTTGACTAATCTAGGATTAGACCCTAGTCGGTCTGTCAGACGCGTTTCAGCATTTCGTCATCTTCAGTGAGCCTGTTTGACTTCAAAGTATTTTTTGTAGGTCATGATTGATGAACTGTGTCGGGCTATATATACGGCTGCCTGAGCCTTTGGAAGTTGGAGCCTGAGTTAAATTAACATAGTCAAAGCACCTCACCCATCACGACTTTATAAAAGAGATTTGATGTCACTTATTAATCGCAATGGGTATTTTTCAGTCCTTCTTTCTTCCTCTCCCTAGAGGAAACTTCCAAAGTTGTCTACACCTATAAAGGGCATATTTCTCTGTTTCTCCTTCAATATAACAATATTGGCACTGGTTTTCTGCCACCTCTAGCCTGTAAATATGCCTCTAGATTCTGCACTCCTTGGTTTAGTAGTTCTCCAGTTAGTTTCTGCAATGGTTCTTAGTTGTTCAGTCTCCATTCTGATATTGGCCATACCGTCTAGAGCTGTATGTGGACCTGACTGTTGCTGATCCTTAGACGGTTCAGTATTTGGCCAGCAAGTAGCCTTTGGTTTTTCTCGTCTGCTGGCTGCAGTGTTAGGGGTGTCATCCCTGACTATAGTCTGGAGAACAGCGCCCTTCATGAAGCAATCGCCCGCACAAGTAACAATAAGGTACCATCGTCCATTTTTCCGAACTTTACCTGAGGTCCATCGCAGGGGACGCAGTGAGGGGCATTAAAAGTCCTGGAGGGTATCCGGTCTATCCGTGTCTATTTCATCCTCGGGGTGTCCGACTGAAATCACAGTGACCTTCAGTGCGGCCAGGAACTCGCCGAATAGTCTTCGCTCTTCGTGGATCTACGGTTTTACAGGTCTTGCGGTAATTCAGCAGATTTTCTTTAAAAGTCCTCCATGACAAACTTTTTAACCTAAACATACTCAACTCCTTGTTTGACTAGGGCTTGCACCTCTTTAGGTTAGCTATCTTCTCAAGGGATTTAGCCTGGTAAATCTAGTGGATGTGGCACTTCTGCGTTCCCTTTGGCACTACTGCCTGCACTAGACGATTGTTTTAGGGATTTTTATTTGTTTTATTTTAGTATCTTCATACATTCCCAGAGAAGTTAGGAATCTAGAAGTCCTGTACAGAACCCTGCATATATGGGTAAGGTGCACCAGTTTCTCCAGGGAACCTTAAGGTTATCCAGCTTTGGGTGTTTTTTTTATGGTTGTTCCTTTCCCTACAATTCACCGTTAATGTCAGGAATCGTCCTCACCTCTCACCTTTCATGGCATCTCCCTTCACCAAGTCCTTCATGGACGTGGTAGTTATACTTAAGAAAGTGTAGGAGTTAGGGCAAACGTCTCGTTAGTTATTGGGAACATCGGGACCCATTTTACAACTCCACTACAAACTAAAATTAAAAAGTATGTCGTAGCAATTAAAAATTATCACTTCGACTGTTCAATGTTCAATTATTTTATTTATTTATATATTTTATATATATTTATATATTTTAAGACATCTAACAAGTCATTCATACCCAATGAAGATGACATTTACTTTTCAGACCTCGTTGGAAGAATATCAGTTCAACTGTACGGAAACAGTGTACATTTTGATTCCTGCTTTCATGATCAGAAGGGGAAAAGTGGAAACTCGCATTGGTACAACGCCCACACCGGCCAGCTCGTTTCCAGCAAATAAGACCTCTTTATTCCCAACAAAAAGTCTTAACACATCTCAAAATACGAACGCGTTTTCGAATTTTTCCAAGGAACAGGTGAAAAAAATCAACTTTTCCCTGATTATTCTTCTTCTAATAAATACAATACAAATACTAATATTATATTACGATTTTTAGCCTTTGGTTGGTGCGCCTAACTTTACTACGCCCAACTCGACTGATGTCGTTTTCGACCCAGCAAATAGCACAACAGTCGTTCCAACGACCGTCCAAACCACACAAAAAGTAAACGCATCGGAAAATATACAGACTACAGTGTCGCTTCCAGAAGTAACGTATTTGATGAAAGACTGGAATATAACTCAGACTGAAGTGGGCAGTCATCAACTGACCATCGAGCAACAGGTAACATAGACTCAATAAACTTGTATAGTCATTGCTTATTATCTATTATATAGACAAAACTAGTTAAATTTAGGTTTTCCCTTTGATGTTCGTTAGCTCGTAACTGAAGTGTAGGAAGTTCGTAGAGCTTGGTCATATTCAGTCGTTTCACAGTGTGCCGTAGATCGCTTTGAGATTTAGGTGTCCTCGGAGTACTAATAGCCGCAGCAAAGTCCCAATGAATACCTGTGCATCAACCCCACAATTGTCCTGTAGATGGAGATTATTTTAAGGAGCTGGTAATAGATGAGGATTTTCTTCTGGTTCCCAAAGGCCAATTTGTATTTATTAACCAGTCTAGTTCGTTTTTCTTTTTACTTTGTATTCTCTATTTAAATTTAGAATCTTACTTATTTATTTTCAAAGCTTCTTTTGTTTCTTTTTTTATTGATAGAGTTGCAGTCTGATCCACGATTGTTGCTGTAGTTGTGTTTTCTTTTGGTATAAATCAGAAACAGAAATGATCCTAGAACGCTTCCTTGGGGAATACCCTTCATTTTTTAAAAGTTCGAGGTCCTCTTGTTATTATACGGAATAGTCTGTCTGTGAGATAGGATAAAAATTCACTGTGTTTTTATTTATTCATTTTTTTAGGATGGTTTAAGTTTTATGTATCAAGCCTTTATTGCCAGACTTTATCAAAAGCTTAAAATATCGGGTAGTGAAATAAGTCATTAGGTTTATTACGTTAAATCAATAAAAATTTAAAGTATTAGTGAGAAAATTTAATCAACAATATATATGTTTTTTCTATAAAACTGACGTTATTAAATTTCAAATTAACCTTTCTTAAATTCATATTAACTCTTTAACTTAAAATTAACATTCCTAATTTCAAATTAACCTATTCTAAATTAAAATTAACTTTCTTCTTTCAAATTAACTCTTTTAATTAACGTAAAAATATTCTTCTTAATTACAAATTAACCGTTTTTCATTTCACATCAAGCTTTTTTAATTTCATATTAACCCTTTTTTAACGTCAAATCAATCTTTTTAATTTTAAATTAACCATTTTTCAGTTAACAAATCCTTAATTTCAAATTACACTTTTTAATTTAAACAAAATTCTTGCTTTAGAGCAAAAAATAACAAATCTTTTGAAGAGGCTTTAAATCACTGGAACAAATCAACATTTACGGTGGCTATTTTTGTGATACCGGCCATTTTACTGATTCCAGAAATTGTTTTAAACCTTGTTTTACTACATTTCTTTTTTTAGTGTTTTCTTTCAAAATTAACTTTTTTTGATACAAAATTCCGGGGTCTTTCTTGAGTTTATGCTTGATTTTATATTATGAGCCCCTTTTGGTGTAACGAACTTAATTACTTCTTCCTCTAAAAATGTGTTTTTATTATAGAAGGCATCATGTGAGGTTCAACTTTGTTTAAGTATATGTTCTAGTGCATTCACCGCCTTGAGTTTTTATTCGTATTTGGGCAATAGATATTTAATATTTTAGTAGCTTTCCTTTGTGAATAAATCCGTCGATATGTGGTGTTAGGTTTGCTAGATAACTGAATTTTTCCGTTCTTACATTTTTGAAGGTATCGTTTTAAGGCCTCTCACAAATATCACAACAATTAATAGAAATCATATCATTTGTGTCAGGCTCATACAGCTCTAGCATCGACAGACAGTTATGTTATGACCGTCCAGCCAACAACATTGGAAAAGGAGTCATCGACGCCTATCGTTGTCAAGAGTCGAATGGAACCCGTCACAAATCCAAATATATTAATGGATCACCCGGCCGAGGAGGAAAAACATTAAAAGTACAGGTAATATTATTTTTCACAGTGAACTCACAAAGGGAGGCTAATGACTTGACAGATGCATTTACAAAAATGAAACAAGCAAAAGACGCTTTTAGTAGAGCAGATTATTAATTGATTATAGAACAATTAGTTTTAGGCTTCCTGTTGTAACACGTTCGTTGTGGGACCTATATCGTTTGACTTTACCACTCCGGCGTCATTGGCCTGATAAATATATATAAAGTGGGAAGTTTATGGGCCGACAAACAGCTGAGGTCATCGCCGGCCCTCTGCGTGTTTCCTTCTTTTTCTCTTCTTTCGCGCGTATTTTGTTTTAAACAGCAGCCATTTGAGCGTCTAGATCTGCTTACTGATTCTGGTTTTAAATATATGCTACGTGAAATCCTAGAATGCTAGCATCTTGTTTGTACCTCAGGTTGTCAAATACGGAATAGAAACAAAACATACAATACACACAGACGCATATATATATATATATATATATGTATACATCACCACTTATCACTCCCCCCCAGAATACGCGATATTCCTCGGGGCGGGGTTGAACCCACTCCACTCTTGCTGATAACTTACTTTCACTCTCCAGACGTCACACACTTACCTCAGAGTACTCGCTATTCCTCGGGGCGGGGTTGAACCCATTACATTTTCGCTAATAAATTAATTTTATTCTCCAGACGTCACACTTACCCCAGAGTACTCGATAATCCTCGGGGCGGGGTTGAACCCACTCCATTTTCGCTAATAAATTAGTTTTACTCTCCAGACGTCACACACTTACCCCAGAGTTCTCGATATTCCTCGGGGCGGGGTTGAACCCACTCCATTTTCGCTAATAAATTAGTTTTACTCTCCAGACGTCACACACTTATCCCAGAGTACTCGATATTCCTCGGGGCGGGGTTAAATCACCCTTTCCTTTCATGCAAATAAATTACATTCATCTCATAAATTAACATAAATTCAACACAGACACAACACAAACACACATAAAAAAACTATATACATTTCTTACTTCTTTATACATTTCTAACTCTAACTTTATATATTTCTTCTTGTATATACATATAGCCCTGAGGTACTGGAACAGCGATCTGTGCCTGCTGCCGTGCTCCAAGACTCCAAAATATTGTCTATATACATCAAGCCTTCTACAATTGAAAAGGTGCTCGACCCTTATTCTATCCTTGCATAACGGGCACCTAAGCGGTTGATTTCCGGCAGAAGGTGTCCGTGCGTTATTCTTGTATGACTTATGCGTAGTCTTGTCAGTATGGCCTTTTCCCTTTTCGAACCGTTCTCCGTGGACCAGAGACCGACTTCTTTCTAAACCTGCCACAGTTTAGCAGGGTTTCTTCTATTTTTACGAGCCCTGCGGTTTGCCCATTCTCTTTTTACAGAATTTGAAATTAATAGTTTTAGGTCCGCTGGGCGTGTAGGTTGATTACTCTGATAAAACTAGATAGATAGATGTATAGGTATTTTATTTGTCTTCAACAATTTATGTTACACAAACGTCAGATGCAATAAATAATAAAGAAAGAAATACATTTATATGAAGAGGCACTTGTGTTAAAGTCTTCTACACAGGACAGTGCTTTTTCTTCAAGAATCTTTTTTAATTTTTTGACGAAGTTTTCATAAGGTAATGTCCTTAGTTCTTTTGGAAATAAATTATAAAGCTTAAGCAGGGACGTCACTGTTTTTGGCTGATTTTCAAGTCTGACAAAGTAGGAACATGTAGCCATTGTCTCTCAGATAGTAACTTACGTTTGTCCCCATTAGTTTTAGTACTCGATAATTTCAAATGGACATGACAACCTTTAACAAAAATGTACAATGAATTAATAGTTAAAGTTCTATATTTACAAAAACATTAATGGTTACAAGGTCACATTAAACTTAATACTTTTTTTACCGTTGCGACCACCCATGCTCGCAAAGATAGAATTAATTTGAAATTAAAAAGGGTTAATTTAATGTAAAAAAATGTTAATTTGATGCGAAAAACAGTTAATCTGAAATTAATCAATGGCTAATTTGAAATAAAAAAAGTAAATTTTGCGCGAAAGTGGTTAATTGTACGGAAAAAAACGCAAGGTGTCACAAGCGGGACTCGAACTCACAAAGTTTTTATTTTAACTTCCTTACCATAATTTAGGTAGGCGTATTGCATTCCGTTTTTTTTTTTCTTCTAATTAATATTATTGGCATTGCGTGCATTTACTTATAACCCAATACTATAAACTACCAATGAATGGAAAATTCCATAATAAACCATTAACAAGTCATCTATTGTACATCTGATCAGCTTTTAGCTTTCTTTCTGTTAACATACATTGATGTTGACAGTTTTATAGAGAGATTATGAATATGTTCATTCCAATTTGTACTCTAAATAAAACCCAATATTTATCATTTTCTACATGGTTTTCAAACTTAACACTTTTTAATGTAACACTTTTATAGCTTGGGTAGGGAACTAGTAAACTGATGGCACCATCGTAGCGTCATTTGTCTGGTAAAACGTCACTGATGGCACCATTATGTCGTCATTTTCCTAGTAAAACTAGTAACTGATGATGCAGTCCTGCTAAAACTATTCACTGATGACGCCCATTGTGGAAAATTAAAAACGATCTTTTTTCATATGATACCACAAGAGACTCCTACTAACAACATAGAAAATCTGCTCTATTTAATTCACATTCCTAACACGATAATAAATATAGAATAATTCTATGGTTAATCTGTAACATATTGTCACAAAGTTGGTGTTATTTTATTTAATAGTTTATATTTTTGTTGTAGGGTAAACCACTTTAGATGGCGACTTGAGAGACGATTCTTTGGTTTAAAAATATTTAACTGCATTCATTTAATTTAATTTATCCAATCAGTACATAATTTGTTGTTAAATAAAATGTGGTGTTGTAGTGAAAATAACAATTATTGTATTAAAAAGTTAAGTTTTAACATTTCTAAAGGTTTTTTATTATTCTTGTTTTAAAAGTTAACACCAATAAACACCTGTTAGCGTTAGGTTCCTTGTCTGTACCAGCATAATAAAATAAATAAAAACAGGAACATGGAATCACTGGAGATGTGCCGTCGAACAAAACCTACACGAGTGTTCGAAAAAGTCTAAAGCTGATTATTTCTATTCTATAATATTATTATAGCTTTTTATGTCAAATTACTTTTTTTTATTTTAAATAAATCATTTCTATCTTCAAATTTACCTTTTTAATTTCCAATTAATCCTTTTAAACTTCAAACTCACTTTTTTAATTACTAATTATCACTTTTTAACTTCAAACTTACATTTTTAATTTCAAATTAACCATTTTTACTTCAAATTTACCTTTTTCAATTTCAAATTAACCCTTTGCAATTTCAAATCTATCCTTTCTTTAAAGAATTAAAAAACTTAGGAGATGCTGTGAAATATAAGCATTAGCTTCAAACTTACCAACTTTCTATCTTCAAATTTACCTTTTTAATTTCAAATTAAACCTTTTAAACTTCAAACTCACTTTTTTTAATTTCGAACTATCACTTTTTAACTACAAACTTACTTTTTTAATTTCAAATTAACCATTTTTACTTCAAATTTACCTTTTTGTAATTTCAAATTAACCATTTTTACTTCAAATTTACCTTTTTGTAATTTCAAATTAACCCTTTGTAATTTCAAATTTATCTTTTCTTTAAAGAATTTAAAAAAACTTAGGAGATGCTGCGAAATGTAAGCATTATCTTCAAACTTACCTTTTTCATTTTCCTATTAGTTGTGTTTAACAAATAAAGTACTGGACCTTGTCTCCATCCTTGTGGCACTCCTACATTATTTTTAGTTGTAATATTAATCGTCTTGTTAGACTCTAAAATTTCTGCCAGTTCGGTTGGAAGTGATAATATCTGTTTTCCTAACTGTTTTCCTACCATCCCTTTTAGTTCACTGATGAGTCGTTCATGCCAGGCCATATCAAAAACTGTGAGGCATTAAGGAAGATCTTCGAGTGTTCTGTATTAAGTCAGAGTGTGTCAGTAGTATGGATATAGTTCTGTATGGTTTCACCTCGTTCGGCGGTTTCCACGGTTTTGTATCATGATGACTGCAAATTTCGTGATGGTGGGAACATGTTTTAATCGGATTGCAGCATTAAATAGGTACGTTTATTTAACTAAATCCCTTTTTCGGGCCATTTTTTTATATTTCTTCAGTGAAAAGGTCATATCCTGGAATCTTTTTAGCAGGTAAGTTTTTAGCTTATGCTATTTCGTTAGGTGTAACTAGCTTTGTATTTTCTTTGGTCAAAAATGAACTAATTTTTTTTTCTTTCTAATCGGCTTTCATTCACTAAGAAGTATAAAACAGTGTCAAATTTGCCAATTTCAACTGCTTTTAAATTACATATGTAAAGATACTTAACTGCTGTCAGTATCTTTCGATGGTGTCCTTTATGCAGAAGCGTGTCGTGCCTTGGCTCCCTACAGGGCGCGAGTAGGCATGCCGCCAGATTTAAAGAGGTTCTCGGACACAACAGCGAGTTTCAGGGTCCCCTATTCCTCTTTTTAAAGGAATTGGGAATTTTTTATTGTATATAAGTGTTAAGTTATGTGTTTTGTATTTCTGTGTCTTGTATGAGTGAATGTGATGGTGTAAATGGGGAGTGGCTGAAGTAGCATCTCCATCCCCTCATGTTCCGTGCGTAACTTGGGTCTCGGTGGAAAACTTTTAAAGTGCCCCATCGACCCGAAATTAGAGTAGTTTATTGTAATGAACAGATAGATGGGTAATATCGAATACTCCATCTCCCAAACAGTACGAGTTCGATCAATGTATACAGGTATGAATGTATTTATTGGTGTGATTGTCTCGTCAGTGGGCGAAATCGTCGGAGAGGCTCTTGCGAGTCAAGAGCACGACCGGTAGATAGCTCCCCGAGGATCTGAGCCGTAAAGAACGAATGGTTCATGCCAGACTAAGAATAGGTCATACACAGTTGACACATGGGCACTTGCTGGTGGGCCAATCTCCCCCCGCAGGTGACCCTCATGCAGAGAAAGGTTGCTCGACCTGTCCCACATAGTCAAAACGTGTCGTGCCTTGTATCCCGAGTAGGCATGCCCCCAGATTTAAAGAGGGTTCTCGGAGACAAAAGCGAGTTTCAGGGTCCCCTATTCCGCTTTTTAAAGGAATTAGGAATTGTTTATTGTATATAAAATACGATAACAGTTAAATTATGTGTTTTGTGTTCCTGTGCCTTGAATACAATTCACTTCAGGTTGTGTATATGACTCGGGCTGATGGCGGAAATTTTATAAAAATACCCCATTGACCCCAAATTAGAGTAGTTTATTATATGGAACAGGTAGTTGATGGAATATCAAGTACTCCATCTACCAAACAGTACAAGTGCGAACAATGTATCATATCATACCATACCATACATAATTATGATCATATCATATCTCTATATCCTATATCAAATATCATGTAAAAATATATATTTTTTTGATAGGGGCATCCGACAGCTTGGTCATTTCAGCCCCGAAGCACTAACAAAATACCTCGGTAGTGTCACACCAATAAATACATTCATACCTATATACATTGTTCGCACCCATACTGCTTGGTAGATGGAGATATTCTTCGGGGTCAACCCAATCCATTCTTGCTAATAACTTACTTTTACTTTCCAAACGTCCCACACTCGATATATATATTATTTTTTATTTTTATTTTTTTTTTGTGAAAAAGGTTTAACATTATAAAAATTTTCGTATATTTTTAAATTAAGTAGAAGCTTTCGAAAAATCAGGGAATATGATAAAATAGTGAAAGAGACGAGATCGATGAAAGTCTTCAATTTATGTTCTCGTCGGTTTATTTTTCTAGCGGATTCAAGGCGTTCTGAATAACTTCAAAGAGTAATATTGTAAGTCTATCTTCCCTGTAGACGTATAATACGATTAAAATTATTCCGGGAACCATTTTATGAAGTATTTTTTTCTACTAGCTGTACTGAGAAATCAAAGACTTTTCTCTTTTTCAACATCAACCAGGATGAAAGGAAAGCCGTTTTCTGAAGTGGAATATTATAATGAATATAATTTATTAACTAGAGTATTAACGACAAAATGTCAAAAACTGAAATCTATCAATTGACTTTTTAAAAATACTCGTCGCACATGAGATAGCGTCTATGTAAAAGCACGGCGTTAAAAAGTCATCAAAGTTAGTCACATTCTCACTCAACTTTATCACTCCTACTATCGCCCGTGTAGTAAAATTTATCTCGCTCATCTCATTCACCGATGTGCAAGTGCGTACAAGTAACCAGCCGTTTTTAAAGAGATTTATCGCAGTAATGGAAATCAGATAATGAAGAGAAAACGGTGAATAGGACGTCAATCATTGGAATAGGATTGAATGTAAAACAGGCTAATCTCTTGTTTTGAATCTGGCGGCGGAGCACCCTTGTAATTATGTGCGCCATTAAAGAAGCTCAAACTAACGAACCTTGAAATAAACGTATTTTTCGCATAGGACGATATTTATTAAAGGGAACATTAACAACATTACGTTTTCTATTTCCTAGATGAATTTCTCTTATTTAAATTCCATTGATGAAAAATAAATTGTATAACTATATTCATACGATGTTTTAATTCGTACAAGATTCAGTGGGTATATTTCTTTGAAACATAATTTGGTAAAAATGTAAAACGACTATGACAGATCCTTTCTTACCAATTAAATACTGATGAAATTCTATCGTAAAGCATCCAATAAACATTGTGTGTCACCATTCTTCATATTTTTCCTAACAAAAAAAAAACTATCATAGCTAATGTGTGATAACCGATTTTAATCAAAAGTTATTAAACCACCAACCGCTAGAAATCTAGAAAAAACATTTATTAAGTTAGTTATATAGTTTTTATAACCTTTTCTCTTTTTTGTTCACGTACTTAAAATTATTATATAACAAAGAAAGGATAAATTTGAAATTAAAACGGGTTAATTTGAGGTCAGAAAAAGGCTGTGGAACAGGCTGACCAACTAGGCAAAGAAGGTACAGAACCACAGGAGGACCAGGCATGAGATTTATAAATTTATCAGTACATTACATTTTAAGAAAAGTATAAATCTCTAATGGGTAGTTTCAATTTAACAATTTTGATATAGATCGACTCTCATAGAAAACATGTTGCTAATATTTTCATCAATTCATTCAACGCTCTCAAATCTGAAAGTAAATAAAGGACAGGATTAAAAAGAAAAAACCGAATTTTAGTGTCCTTAGGAAATCGTTTGACACGAAAATTAAAATTCCACTGATATTGCCCAAAGATTATAGTTAGAAAAGAATTGATCCCAAAACTGAGGCCATATTTTTTACCAGGCGTCGCCCTATCTTTAGAGAACAAATATTTGTTAACAGCTGGCAAATTCCATGGGATGAAAAAATCAAATACTTATTATTATTTTGGCGTTATTTTGAACGTTTAGAGATTAGTGACCGTTAATCGATAGTTATTTTGAACGTTTAGAGATTAGTGACCNTGGACAGAGGGGATCGCAGAGCGTCGGGTAGGTTAGCGTGGCATAGCATCGGGTAGGTGTGCACGGGGGTAATGCAACCTTGTGGAAAATCGGAGTTTGGATTTGCGTCGGGTAGCATCGGGTAAGTGTGTTCCTGGCTTAAAGGTATTCAATTCAATATGTATCTGATTTCATTTTGCTTATATCCTTTTTTTGTGGGTTTTTTTGTAATTTTCCACGAGCACAATATTTTTAAAACCTCTATATTTAGACAAGGGATCAAATAGATCAATTATTTTCACAGGATGTGCCCCGCCACTTCCCTTGAAACTTAAAGGAATGTGTTCTATGTAAATTTATTACAAATAAATAAAA